TCTCTCTCTCTCTCTCTCTCTCTCTCTCTCTCTCTCTCTCTCTCTCTCTCTCTCTCTCTCTGTGACACACACACACACGCATGCGCGCGCCCCCCCAGGCACGGCCAACTCAACAGTTTCATGTGTGCATCAACTGACCAGCCTGCCAATGTGAAAAATGAGAAGGAACCTTCCGCAAAAAAATCGGAAAAAGAAATCCTGGTGTGAGTATGGACTAAGGAGCTGTCCGATGCAACCACTTCCTGTTTCCCCTCCCACTCCTTCTCCCGCTCCTTCTCCCACTCCTCCTCCCACTCCTTCTCCAGCTCCTCCCACTCCTCCGCCAAACAACGTGATTGAGATCCCTCCATAGCCCCGCCCCCGCTCCTTCTCCCGCTCCTCCTCCCTCTCCTCCTCCCTCTCCTTCTCCCGCTCCCCCTCTTGCTGCTCCTCCCGCTCCTCCTGCCGCTCCTTCTCCCACTGCTTCTCCTGCTCTTGCCCCCGTTCCTCCTCCCCCTCCTTCTCCCCCTCCTCCCGGCCCTCTTCCCGCGCCATAGCACCACTCTCACTCCTTCCCCGCTCCTTCTCCCACTCCTCCTACAGCTCCTTCTCCCGCTTCTTGCACTCCTCCTCCTAGTCCTCCCCCTCTCGCTCCTCCTCCGCCAAACAACGTGACAAAGATCCCGCCATAGCCCCACTCACGCTCCTTCTGCTCCTCCTCCCTCTCCTCCTTTTCCTGATCTTCCCCCCGTTCCTCCTCCCCCTCCTTCTCCCGCTCCTCTTCCCACGCCATAGCCCCGCTCCCGCTCCTTCCCTGCTCCTTTTCCCACTCCTCCTCTCCCGCTCCTTCTCCCGCTCCTCCTTTTCCTCCTCTTTCTTTTCCACCTCCTCGCAGCTTCATCATCTCGCACCTTCTCTTCCTCCTCGTCATCGTCCTCCTCTTTACTGCTCTCACTTGTGTGACACGTGGTGCACCTGGGCATTTCTTTTCCTTTTTTTCAGCCGCTATATTCTTCTCCTCCTTCCCTCTTTCTGGTCGCGTCCTTGAGCTTATCCTGATCCTTGGTTTCCCACCTCTTTCTGCTCCCACGTTTCCCGATCCCGACCTCCCTCTATTTCGATCCTGCTCCCCAGTCTGGCACCTCTTTCTCCTCCCGCCTTCCCCGATCCCAACCTCCCTTTATCCCAATCCCTTTTCTTGCTCGTCTCGATGTCTGCTTCGATGCCACTTCCCTCTAACCCGGCCTGGATCCTCCCACCTTCACCGATCCTGATCTCCCTCTCTTTCTGCTCCCGCCTTCCCAATCTCGACCTCCGTCTACCGCAATCCAGCTTCTTGCTCATCTCGATGTCTACTCCGATCCCGCTTCCCACTGACCCGGCCTCGATCCACTTTCCCCAATCTCCACACACACACACACACACACACACACAAGCACACACGCACATGCACACACACAC